AACCTGTGTTCTTCACGGTCTCGCCGATTCCACACAGTGACTCGGCGAGTCACTGTGCAGAATCGTTCGGTTCTCTCTAGAACCGGATGATTTCCGATTTTTTAGCCGATACGATCCCCTTTTTACGATTTTCGAGTCGAACCGGACGAATCCGGTTCGCGACGTTTTTTAAAACACTGCTTCAAACTATTAAATTTCACATCTAATTGCTAAAAATAATTGCCATATCCTTTTATCAAAAGAAAATGGTTTCGTAATACACAATCATGTTTGTTTATTCTAGCATCTAATTTCATCTAATTTATGGATTGTGAACCAATCATTTATCCAAGTTGACCGCTAAATAATTGCCGACTCGAGCTCAGACTCGTCCAAGTTACTCAAATCCAATAAGGTGCTAAATCTGAATAGCTCACATAAAACCAAGCGAGTTGGTCCAGACTAGACCGAATCAACCTCAAACTACGGCTTATAATCTCAAGAGCATCATGATTCACCTGGTGAACCGGGGATTTTGAACGGTGAGATTGAGGAATTTCTCATACACACGCATACGCATACACACATTTTATCTCTCTTTCAAGTCCAAATATTGCACCTCTAACCCTGAATATTGGCACTTTTTTTTTCTCTCCTCCATGTCCAAATGTTGCAGCTCTAACCTTGAGTATGTAACACGTGTGGCAACAAAAACATGAAAAGCCTGGGGTATTTTGTTTGGTAGGAGAAGAGAGAGAAAGAGAGAGAAAAAGAAAAAGAGTAGAGACAGAAAGGGTGAGAATGAGAAAAGGCAAACGGTTTGATGAGGAGGACACAAGTCATGCACTCTCCCAAAGCGTGGCTCACTAACATGGATTCCACCAGACACCTACTCATCTAAGCCTACTGACACGAAGTTGGCACCTTAAATTCACCTAGATACCCTCAGTTACTAAAAAATGACTTTTACATCCCTTTCCCTCTCCTTTATATTTTTTTTTTCTTCATTTTCCAATATGGGTTTTGAGGGTGCCTTTTTTTTTTTAGAATATTTAATGCTCCCGTACGACCATATTATCTATCTACTCTTTTGGATACAATTCAATTTAATAGTATTATTTTAAGACCTCAAATTTTGTCGATATAACCTTTTCAACTCATAGACTAACTTTAATAATGTATTTATTTTACCAAATCGTTCGTTTTATGGGCTTGACAAAATTAATATCTCATGATTGAATAGAGATCGTTCAATTTATAAAGGGTGACATAAGTGTTGAACTCAAAAAGTATTTTTTTTTTCATTTGTAAATAATCATCCTGAAGTGGTCCTTGAATTTTTAGAACGAAAAAATCTCCCAATGGCTCTTCTTTGGAAAAGTTGGGTGTATACTCTTGTTTTTCAATGGGATTGTATACTATGGGATGATTTACCTTTTTCACAAGGTCACAAATATCTATGGCCATCCGATTTCAAATGGGACAACTTGAGTTGTGTTACAAAATTCGAAAAAAAAAATTTAAATTGTAATCCTGGTCAATGGCACATTCTCTACCACCTGATTTGAAATCCAACATACAATAGTAATTGCGTCCTCCTTGTACTAAAAGTAAATAGCCTCTTTATATACTTTTTTTTTTTTTTCAAATAGTGTTGAGAAAAATAACAAGACAAGCAAAACATTTCCTTTCCTTTCAAGTGGCCAAAACTACTTCGAAGGAAAACTTATGAAGTTCGATAATCTTAAGGTGCATGGAGGCTGTCTATACAAGACACTGTTGAGTACAGTGTGTGCATAGTGTGTGTTCTTACTGAGCACACTATGCATTCACTCTACTCGTGAATGACCTGGAAGACTTTCTTGGTTTGCAACTCTGCGATACACTTTAAAATCACCAGCTGTGTATTTAAAAAAAAACAGAAAATAGATTTTTTTGAGTTCTTAATTAATTGGATCTTATTGGTAGCGATCTTTGTTCTATCTTAAGACATTATTTCTTAGGAACATTCATAATGCATATAAAAATAAATTCTATGTTAATTAGTAGAGAGGTTGAGAAGGCTGCATTCCCATAATTGAGGTGTCAGAATTACTCTAAAATTCGTCGATGTATGTCGGAAATGACTTATCCGGAATGGGAATTGATGTGGACCCACCATGTCCCTACTAAGGACCAAGAATTCCTCCGATTTTGACTCCTTCAGAGAACCGTTGCTAGGGAATCAGAGAATTAGTCTGGTTCTCACTCAATTTATTTTTTATTTTATATTATCAAAATTAGCATTATTATTTAAATTTTTTGGGGATCGATTCTCACATCGGTTTGGTTCACTTATCCAAATTAGATTTCTAGAATGCCAAATTTGTCTTGGGGATCCAATTTTTGAAGCACTACTCCTACATAAGTTTTTACCTCTTGGAATTAATGTACAATATGCCGCAGTGGTATACTATAACCTTAGAGGTTATGTAAAATTTAAACAAATCTCAAAATTATTTAGAAAGTGCGTAACATAAGAAGTCGTTGTAGTATAGTGGTGAGTATTCCCGCCTGTCACGCGGGTGACCCGGGTTCGATCCCCGGCAGCGGCGTTCTTTTATTTTGCAAAAAGACGTTTTGACAAGAAGAAGAATAGCAATCACTAAAATTAGGACATGCATGAGATTACGAACATTTTCAAGGACATAAAAATGGATCCACACAATGTGAAGAGTCCCTTCATGCCAATCGAATTTAAACTGTTTAGTTGTTTTATTTCCTCTTTTCATTTCATCTCTTTTTGTCCTTTTCCTTTTTTTGGCCCGGTAAAACCGTAAAAAGACCCAGGTACAAATTAGCCCCATGGCTACTCCCCTTCTCCTCATTGCATCACATAGAACCAGAAAGGGGGAGAGAGAGAGAACCTCATTGCATCACATAAAACCAGAAAGGGGGAGAGAGAACCAGGAAACTGGGGGTAGAGAGAGGGGGAGGATCTAGAAAGAGAAGCAAATACAGAGAGAGAGAGAGAGATGGCGGGGCATCTAGTCCCCCTCGATCGCGGTTTCTCCCCGAGCAGCGGTGGCGCTGCACCTCTCTTAAACTCGCTATTCATGTCCACAGTAAACATGGCAGCGAAAACTCTTGTTGCGGTGGCCTCCGGTGGTAGTACCCCTGGGGAGCGGTGGAAGCCGTCGGACCACGCTCGCTATGTACTCATGCTTATGGTGTGGTTCACAGTATGGGTGCTCCGCATCCTCATGGACTGCCTTCCATGCCCTTCTCTCCCTTCCTCCTCTTCTCTCCTACTCCATGATTGGCCTTTCCAGGGCCCGCTTGCACTTCTCGACCATGCCGGGTCTGCCCGGATCACAGAGCCCTCACCGAAGGCCCTAGAGCGAGCCCTCTCTCAAGTGAGTCCGACATCTTAAATTAGGTGGTTAGGAGTGTGTTATTTCTTAACACAAAATTTACACATCTCCAGTCCCTTAATTTCAAATTATGATTAGAAGTTATTATAATTTTTTTATATATATTTTTAATTAAAAATAGATATAAATCAGCAATTATGATTTTCATGATATATACTCATCCCAATTAGGTTAGCAAAATGAATATGGATTGTATCTAAGAACATTAACTAAAAGTTAAAACACCATATGCCCTTACATGTAAAATCAGGGAGTCGTCGTGCATTATTTCTCTACGTAAACGCTTAACAAAAAATATTTGGCCTTGAACAGTAATGATGGTACGTATTTGACATTTGATAGCTACCGATAATTGTTATTATTATGTGCTGAAATAACCAATTATATTTTATGCTTCCCAAAATGATAATAGGATTGTATCCGATGAAACTATTTAAATGTGCAATCTAAGTGTGACCCAACGAAATTTTCTTTTGAATTTTGAATTTGGTCAATAAAATAAATGCAATCACCCAATTTTACATCTAATATAGTCTACACTAATTGTCACTAGCTTGCACCAAAGGTAAATGATCTCATTAGCATTATTTGGGACTTATAGCCTTATTAAGAATACAACCCTCAATAGAGCAGGATGGCAGACTAGAATTTGTGTAGCCGAGCCTTAGAAAAAAAATTCGACAATGATGATGATTAATAGATTTTCTCTCTCTAATTTTTTATTGTAGATCTTCTCTCTCCTCAACGACATTCCCGCCTCATCAAGAAAATACCAATTTGCATTGTCTATGGTAGACAAAATCGTAGAGGAAAATGCACTTGTAGGAAGTGAGGCCCTTAGAGAAGTGAACCGTGTGGCTCTCTCAAGTGCTTTTTCTCGCACGTGTGCTCTTCTCCACTCTTCTCTCCATGTAAATCGACAAAGACAAGAAAGCACTGCCCCTTGGCCTTTTAAGCTCTTACAAACTCTTCCTCTTGGTTCAACAATTGCAATGTCACTATGGAGCTTTTGTAGTTGTGTAGGGTCCTTCTTGAGCCCACAAATTGGTGTAGGGCACATACCTAGGCTCTCAACTGATGGAGTTGGGGAGAAGGAAGGGGTGGGTGATGAGGTTTTGGCAGAGAAGTTGGCCCAAGAGCTGTTGTGGATCACAGAGAAAATGAGGGCGTGCTCAGCTGCGGAGGACGCCGTGGTTCAGTGGAGCTTCGCGTCAGGATTGGCCTCGATTTCGATCACCGCAAACCGGAGGGTGCAAGGTTCAATTGTGAAGTTATCAGGTGAGTTTTGGATCTATTTTTCAGTTAAATTATGGGACTGTGCACTATAAAATCATTTGCTTTCAATGAATATCATAATCACCTCAAGCCTTCAAATATGAAATCAACCAATTAAGGATATGTCATTTTTTTGCACAAAGTCCAAAAAATAACCTTTTAGACTTTAACTATAGTCAATAGAATGCACCCTATTGCCCTATTTCCTATTTGACGGATAGGGGTGGTTGTCTCTTGCTGCCTATTTCATTCGATAATGGATAGGGAGTGTAGCCTTTATGCTCCATAAGTTGATAGTCTTTTTGTATGGGATGCAGTTTTTATGAGGCCTAAGCCTTCTGAAAAAAATGTAAAGCCTCAATTTCAAATTTCACTGGAAAAAATGCAATTCCGATGCAGGATTTTTATAGTGGCTCGAAAATCTATTTCCACATTGGATTATGAAATTTGAAGCTCCAAATATAATATAGATCTTGTGGATTTGTTGAAACTAGAAAATGGGCGGTCTAGATAATGGGTTGTAAGTACACTTCTTTTCGAGTTTGAATCCGTATTTTTTTCTAACTTTCATGATAATCAATGTTGAGATTGTTAGAATATGGATATCTCGGGTTCATATTGATATACATTATTAGAAAGTGAGGTATCTAGAAGATAAGAAGAGATCAAATCAAAGTTACTTGGTCATCAAGATAGTTTGGTGATAAGGCTTTTATTATTTATCTCTATCTCTAAGAATCATGCCATATTTATCTCTTGTAATTGTGTAATTGTCCTCTATATATAGATATACTTATTGATATAAACATTGATCTAAAATAGTGAAGATGTAGCGCGTTGGCCTTTGGATCCGTGGACTTAAGGCTTCGGCCTGAACCACGTAAATGTTGTGTTCTCTCTTCTTCTCTCTCCATTCTCTATTCAATGTTTGTGCATGTATGCTCCCACAAATTTTAACATGGTATCAGTGCCATAGACTCATCGGCTCAAATATGAGGTCGAAAAATTTCATGACTAGTTCCTTGATCCATAGCTTCCCTTGCATTCTGATCCATCTCTCTCTCTAAACCGAAGGCTTCCTCTCTCTCTAGAAAGACGTCCTCTCTTTCTGTCTCTCTCAATTGGAAAACTTCAGTCTCCTGCAACCTCAAAATAACATAAACCTTATCCGTTCATGATAAACTCTGCAAAATAGAAAACCCTAGCTTGCACCTTTATATTTTCCCACCATATTTTTCACCTAGTTCTTCCTAATTTATCAGAAATAAATGGCAAAACCAAAGCTTTTGAGATTTGGTTGGGTTGTTTAGAGGCATATTAATCTTGTTGAAAATTGGGGTTTTTTCTGAATCAAGTTGGATTAGGGTTGGTGAAATTATGAGGACGATTAAGCTCCCAGAGCCCTCCTAGTGGAGCGATAGGAATGCCTGAGATTTTTGAAGCAGGAGTTTTGAATGTGGTGGAGAGAGCTGTAATTATTGGTAATAGATTTTCTGGTGCTAAGAACCAGAGCATTGGGTTGGTTAAAGCGTTAGGGCTCTTTGATAAACAATCTTTATATCGTGTTACTAGACCAAGAGGAGGCATTAATGAGTGGTTGAGTTGGCTTCCTGTTTCCATACACAAAAAAAAAAAAACTATACTTAATCCTGAGGTAGATATGTGGCAATTCAAGATTTCTTTCTTCATATTCAAGGAAGAAGTTGTTTCCTCTACCTGCTGAAAATGGTGGGGTTGCAGGCTCGCCATCTGTTTTAGAAGCAGATGCAAAACATATTGAAATGATGGCGGTGTTTCAAAGGTTTCAGATTTTCTTTTCATTTCTGTTGGCTTTTTCAAATGCATCATGTTCGATAATCGAATCTTTCGATCCTGAGTGATGATCAAGTTTTTCGTTACTTGATCATATTTGATGATTTAGTTTTTTGTTACTCAATCTTATTGGAAGATGGAGTTTTTCGTTACTCCATCTTGATGATGGAGTTTACTAGATCATGTGTGATGATCAAGTTTACTCGATCCTGTATATTCAGGATGCCTATGTTTAATGATTGAGTTTTTCGTTATTCAATCTTATTGAATGATGGAGTTTTCCGTTATTCTATCCTATTTGATGATTGAGTTTTTTCGTTATTCGATTTTGTATGTTCCGAAGGCCTGTTTATTTGTTTTTTATCGAGTTTTTCGTTACTCGATATCAGATGTTCCTGAGGCCCTCTCTTCCTGAGGCTCGTTGATCGGCGATTGCAATCTGTGCGTGTTGTTCAAGCAATCTGAATAGCATTACTCGTTTTTTTAACAACTTAGTATGCTTTGAACTGACACAAAGCAGCTTGAGTTTGAGGGGGAGTGTTAGGATATTGATATCTCGGGTTCATAGTGATATACATCATTATGGATTAATGAGTATATATCTCTTGATAAGATTAGGTATGAAATCAAAGTTACTTGGTCATCAAGTTAGTTTGGTGATAAGACTCCTGCTATTATCTCTATCTGTAAGAATCATATTATATTTATCTCTTATAATTATGTGATTGTTCTCTATATATAGAGGTACTTATCAATATATAAATTGATCCAAAATAGTGAAGATGTAATCCTTTGAACTTTGGATCCGTGGACGTAGGACTTTAGCATAAGGCTCCTACTATTTACCTTTATCTGCAAAAAATCATATCATATTTATTGTCCTCTATATATAGAGGTACTTATCAATATAAAAATTAATCCAAAATAGTCAAGATGTAGCCCTTGGGCTTTGGATCCATGGACGTAAGGCTTCAGCCTGAATGACGTAAATGTTGTGTTCTCTCTTCTTCTCTTTCCATTCTCCATTCAATGTCTATGCATGTATGCTCCTACGAATTCTAACATAGATAATTAGTTTAAAAGTTTCTATTACTAAAGTTAGAAATTTTGGTGAGATTTGAGGGGTGGGTTTACTTTTGTCGCAAGGCCTAAGCCTTATCTTATCCTTTTTCTTTTATATATTGTCCTTTGAGTCTTGAATATCTCATATTTGATTAAGAGATTTTTTTAGATTATCCTTTGGAGTCTTAAATGTCCATTGAGGACGGCAGGGAGTAGAGTCATGACATATGGTTATTGTAACTCCCATTTTTTGTAGTGGAAGAAAAATTTAGGGTGGTCTTGTATGTGATGCAAAAGAGATAAACTTTGGCTATTCTGAGTGTAAGCAAAAGGGTTGGGGGTTCTATTATGCTACTTAATATCGTCCTCGATTATTATTTTTTAACTAATACATATTTAGAGGCAGAGAAAATTTATGAAAGGCATCAATTTTATGTTATAAAAGTAAGGAGCACCTCAATAACATGTTAGATAAGGTTGTTTAAATTGATGGAAAACTCTCTAATTGATCATCTCGACCTTGAGATGTATGGATATTAAAAAAAAAAAATTATAATCTTAAATATATTGCATCCTGTAACACATTATCTGAACCTCCCACTTTTAAAATTTTCAAGTGTAGATCGACTGGATCTGAACTAATTTTTTATACTTAAATTTCATGATTATGGGTTGAAGATTATCAAGCCATTGTAGGGGTTTCCTATACTAGAAGTGCATCTTCTAACTAGGTTTGGAGTTGCACCTTATTTTGATGGAAATATATATACAATGAGTGCATTTATTTTTAATACAAGGAGATCACAATAATCAGTGATAGTTAGATTTGAAATTCAGCGGTTGAGGGTATGTTATAGTTTTGACACAAAATCCACAATAAAAATTTTTGAATGTTATGACACACTTTCTTCCATTAGATTTCACATCTAATGGCTAAATGTGATCGTGACTTTCTTGTACCAAAAATAAACGGTCGCATACAATCCCTATAAGGTTGATATTGATATGAACTACACCACATTTCTAGATTATGCTAATGCAACTTGCATTTGGTTGTGTCCTTAAGCACCCTACTTGGACATGTAACATACATGGATTCTGTTCAGGCCTAAGTAAGCCCTTGTACAAACCGAGTCGGGTTTGGGGGTCCCCCCACTTCTCTTTTTATTTCTTTTGTAGGCCAAAAAAAAAAACAAATAAAAAAAAAGAAGGAAAAGGAATTGGATTTCAAAAAACAAAAACCATTTTTTTTCATGACAAGTGATTGATAGAACCTAATCCTTTCACACCAGTAATTTGCCATATAAATTTGTGGACATCAACCTAAGTAAAGAAAAGAATTCTCTCAAAAAACAAACAACTGACAGTGACCCATTTTCCTATCTCTAGCAATCTTGATAAGGGAGGTGGCATCAAGGGAGATTGAGACATGTAGGCAGGTGAAGTTCAGGCTCTTGATCCAATGGCTTCCATTGTTGTGCTATGCTTCGAATGGAGTTGCATACCCCATACTTTCAAGGACAGAGAGGAGAGAGGTGGAGAGAGCAATAGAAGAGATCATAGAGAGCTTACCAGATTGTGATCAAGAGATCATCCTCTCTAATTGGCTCCAAGACTTCACCTTTTGCTCTTCAGATTGGCCCAATCTTCAATCCTCCTTTGATAGATGGTGCCATTCCACTAGGAAGCTCATTGCCTAGCTCCAACCCCTTCGTCTCCTCTCCATTTGGAACTTGTTCATGCATGTATATCTTTTTTTTTCTTCTTTTTTTATCTGTTTATGGAGTTCTGTATATATCCCTCTGGTTGAATACACACCTTCAAAACAACAAAGGTGTTTTATTTAGGGCTGGCAATGGGCCGGGCCTACGAAAAAAGATAAAGAAATCAGCACCAAGCACCTGACTTCACTGGCCCAGGCCTGTGTCCTCAATACACATTTTTGAAGCTCAGACCCTACTTTTACCGAGCCAGGCCATCGGGCCTGCTGCCACCCTTTTTTAAAGGGATAAGGTTTTCATGAGTCCCAGGAATCAAATGTATATATATATATATATATATATTCCCTCATCATGTTTCATTTTTTATATAGGTTTTGGACCTAATTTTTCACCTATACATCATTTCTAACATGGAGAACATGAATACGTAAAAAAAAAAACAATTTGAAAAACTAACCTGATATTTTGAAAAATGTTTAGATTGTTGATTTTTATCTTTTTTTAAGACGGACCACCACTTTACATCCATCTTTAATACGCATAAACAATTTTTCTTTCTTGGATACCCCACTTAAAAAAAGATCTATCGTACGCCATGTTCCAGCAGGAGCATGCTGTATATTAACTCCTCTAGGCAAAAGAGCAATTCGAAGATCTCTTTATAGGAAAATTTGGATTGACCTAAGAATTATTAGATAATTTTCTTCAGAAAATTAGATTTTGTGCTCATCAAATAATAATTAGATAACTTTATTCAGAAAATTAGATTTTATGTTCTTCAACACTAGGATCTTGACCCCTAAAAATTGAACGGTCATCATTTAATCTCGGGATCTTAGTTTTTTCAAGCACAAAAGAGCGTGCAATTTGAACTTTTATTTTTTCTTTTGAAAAATTGTTTCATGCAGGCCGGATCACATTTCTACAACATGCGGTTCCAAGGTATAAAGTATCCATTTTAAAAATAGATGCAAATAGGTGGTCCATCTAAAAACAATTGAAATTAATGGCTCAAATGTTTTTTTAATAAAATTAATTTTTTAATAATAAAAATTTATTTATTTATTTTATATTCATGATCTCCATGTTAGAGATTACGTGTCCAAAAATCCATCTCAAAAGTAGATTTTTAAGATGTAACTTATTTCTACATGGACTCATCGAAACCGTGATTGAGACTTCAAGAGATCACATCCCCAGATTTTGAAGTCCTAAAAATAAAATACTCTTACGCTCAAATTTTATCCTAGGTTGCAAACGGATTATGAATTTTAACTCGAATTTGACCAAGGTCACGATCACTTCAAGCTGTCATATGTAAAATCAGGTGTGTCATTTATTCGCACAATGTCTAAGGAACATTCATAAATGCATTCAAATTCTAACCGCCCGAATAGACCCGGTTAGATCGGAATTGGCCAATGGCCGGTTCTGGTTTCGACCGGTTTTGGTGAACCATATCAGGGTATTTTTGAAAAAAGTATATAAAATTTTAAAAAATAGTGGATTTTGTTTGCAATACATTGTTTTTAATATTTTTCATAATTTTGGGAAAAAAAATAGAAATTGTTTTGGCCATTAATATTTATTTTTACATTTTTTTCATATTTTTTAATTTTTTTTATATTTTTTTAACACTTTTTAAACCACATGGGACTTGCCGGATTAGGCCCGTTGAACTGCTTTCAACCCATGTCCGGTCCGATTAGGCTCGTTGAACCGCTTTTAACCCTATGTCCGATTACCTATTCGAGTTCGATTTTTCTTAGGTTGCTTTAAACATGGTAAATTGTACAAACTCAACCTCATTTCATATCAGAAAATCTAAAGATGATTGTGACATTTTTATACAACTAATAAGTTTTTATGCGTTCCCATGCATACTTTGTTCATTCCCATCATTGAAGAAAAAATGGGGCGGGGCGTTCTAACAGTAACCGCCCGGTTAGGTCTGAATTGGCTAGTGGCTCGGCTAGATATTATTAAAAGAATTATATGAAATCCCAAAAAATAAGTGATTTTACTTGTAATTAATTTGTCAATATTTTTCTTTATTATGGAAAAGATTGGAAATTGTTTTGGCCATTAATATTTTATTTTTTATGTTTTTCATGTTTTAAAAAAAAAATCAATGTTTTTCTTCATTATGGACAAGATTGAAAATTGTTTTGGCCATTAATATTTAATTTTTAATTTTTTTCATATTTTTAAATAAATTCAAAAAATATCTTTAGGCACAAATTGGTTATTTGGAATCCATTTTTTCATTAATTTTCAACTTCACGTGGATATACTTTGTTTAATCATTCTATGAATATAATTTTTATATTTTTTTAGATTTTTTTTGTATTTTTTTAAAAAATTTAAAACTTTTTTGACCGCCTAAAACTTGTTTGGTCCAGCTAGAACAGTTGAACCGGCCATTTTACCGGTTACGCCAGGTAATATTTTGGTTCGATTTTTCGTGCATTAATTCCCATACATGTTTTCCAATTAGGCCATTTTATATGTGGTAAAAAACAGAGTCACAATCATCCCATGAAGTAGCAAATTTTATTTTGTCCTTGTAACATACGTTTTAACTGAGAATAAAATAATATGGCGAAAGTAAAAGATAGAAAATAGCTCACGTGCTGGTTATATTGATTTTTATTTCCTCTCTTTTTTGTGTGCACTGTGATTAAATTATGAAAATCAAACTTTCAATTGAATCAATGAAGGTTTAGTCCAATCAAAATTAGTTCGTCTAAATCAAACTTTCAATTGAATCAATTAAGGGTTTAGTCCAATCAAAATTAGCTCATCTATCAGTCGAACTGGTTGAACCATATTTTAGAAAAATATAAAAAATAAAACTAGGTAAAAGTTTATATAGAGCAGAGGCTCTAAACAATCAAATTTGAGCCTACCTCAAAAGTTTCACTACAATAGTTTGTTTTGATGCCCAAATATCTTCAAATTGATCATCTCGACATCAAGATGCATGGATATAAGAAAAAAATGGATTGCAAGTTTTGGAAATATTGTATTTTGTAATGCATTTTTGGACCATCAATTTTCAAGATTTTCAAGATTTTCAAGTTTTCATAGATATGTTGATCTATACTATTTTTGACAATTTAAACTTTATAAATAAATATAAAAATATATATTTTAAAGCTATCACAAGGATTTCCAATATTGAAACTACATTTCTTGACATTATTTGAAGGTAGGCTCTAATTTGATTGTTTAGAGCCTAGATTCTATATAAACTGCACCCATAAAAATAATAATTAAAAATATAAAATATATTAAAAAAAATTCTCACTTTTTTCCAGCAAATTGAACTAGTTAAACCTGAATTATCAGACCAACCAAAACCAATCAAATACTGACTTTGACCTTTTTTTACGAAATCGAACTTTTGCTTAGATCAAACCGATCAATGGACAGAACAAACAACCAGATGGTCGGTTCCTATTAAGTGTCATAAATAGAGATAAGAATAGAGGGAGGGTGGACTTTTTAAGGTTGATTGCGCATCAATTGGCTATTGACCTTATTAACAAAATCAAAAGAAACTAATCCCTTCACGACAAGACATTGTATGGCCACGAAATCGTTTACTTTGATTAAAGAAGGACTTAGAATGGACCTAACATGAAGTTGGTCACTTGCTATACTAAGTGAAAACCATCCAATACGCAAGAGTAATCTCAAAAAGTTTGAACAAAGATATTACAGCAAATGGGAACCATGCAATAAAAATATAAAAGACTTAACAAATTTGGACAAAAGAGATTATGTGAGATGAAAACCATGCAAGAAAGCCCCATGAATTTAAAAAGCTGCACCTCAATTCTAAGGAGAAGCTGTAGCACAAAAACTTACCAAGTCCGTCATCTCTACTTCAACCATCATGGTCTTTTACCAAGTCCGTCATCTCTACTTCAACCATCATGGTCTTGAAAAGTAAAGATTTCAGGTACTAAAAATTGTCCATCCCATAGCACTGTCTATAGATGATCCATTTTAATTCTTATATCCACTTGATCTACACTATTAATGAGGCCTTATATTTTGGGTAAAGTTTTGAGGTGGCACCACCCACATAAAAGATCTGAGGTTTCGTATCTATGTAATCTTGATTGGACAAAAACTTCAGCTTCCTCTTTTGCATAAAAACTTCAACTCTCCCTTTCATCGATGATTGAATCAATCAACACTAGCAGTTTAGTGAGAAAAAGTCATAGACCAAAGAAAAACTGCTAAAGGTCTCTAAGTCGTGTTTCGACTCTCTATAAAACAGCCTTTGTTTTGTTTCTCTTTTGGCTTGTGTTCTGGACTGTGAATTACTAAATCTGTCTCAGATTGCCAATTGCTGAATCTGTCTCGGATCTAAACCGAGTTCTGTTGGCTCTTCCAAGTGCCATTCTGTTTTTTCAGCTGTCTCAACTGCTTTTCCGTCTCCAATGAAGATATAGAGTTTACGCATTTTTGTCTCTGGTGAAGATCTAGAGTTTACGACATGCATGTGAAGCTTTAAAGATCCAACTATGCAACTTATTGTTCAAACTCCAGCTACTTTGTATCTAAGCATATCGAGGCTTTGAGGGGGAATGTTAGCGTATATATATCTCTTAATTGTATGGGTATATATCTCTTGATAATATTAAGTTTCTAAAATTATGATTTGATTGGTGCATATCCTTGGTGTCTATACATAACTGTTACTAGTCATATATTTATATAGGTCTTTATATAATGAAAATCTTGAAAATGGATGGTCCAGATAATATGTTTACAAGTAGATGGCACCATAAAAAAAATTTACCCGTGGACATCACAATCCAATCCAGGCATTGTGAACTACAAATTCAGTGGGGTTTTCAAAGTGGGGGCCTTACCAAATTTCATAGGCCGTGGCCTCACAAAAGCCGCACCATCTGTTACTTTCGTTTTGACCATCCGCAATGGAATCAATCATTTTGTTATATAGAAAAATGATCAATTTACAAAATATTGTAAGAGATGAAAAGTCCCAATATTTTTTTTTAAGAAATGTAAAAAGTTTGAAGAAAATAGATTCTGAAAAACACAGGAGGCAGTTCAAGAGCCGCTTTGTTTAATTATTAAATAAAAGTAGTTCTACTCATGGCTTCAACGTGTGAGATCAGTTCAAGGGATTCGTTTAACAACCACAAGAAGAAGGGCGATATCAGAGACATGGTGTTTCAACCAGAAGACATGGGGCCATAGTGTTTCTAGAGAGCAAGTAAGGGGAAAATGAGTAATAAAAAGCACTATTGAGTGCAGCGTTGATGAAGAGAGAAAACCCACCCTCAACAATTGGGTTTCATCAGGGCTGCATTCAATAATGCCTTCGATTACCACTGGTTTTGTGACTGGAGAATGCAGTGAGCTCAGGCCAGATGGTGAACATGCCCCCTCTCTCTCTCTCTCCTCTCTCTCTATCTCTCATCAATATCTAATATGCTCACTCTTTGAATCCAAGATATCACACTCACCATTTGCCCTTGATCCCAATCCTTGGAGTGTGACACTTTTGGATTTTTTTAGATTTTCAAGTGTATATAGATGTGCTCAATTTGCATGGTCTTGAAATTTTAAATTTTATAATTAAGATTGAACATGAATTTTCAAGTCATTTTAAAATTTTCGATGCCAAAACTATATCTTCCATAATTTACCAATGCCCATTACTTGTAAAGGCATAAGGTCAGCACCTTTTACAAACCCACCCCAAGCCCAACCCCCCTCCCCCCAACAAACTTCTTTCCATCGTGATGCAATTTCTAACCTTTAAGAATAAAAAGAGATGTAATTTCTACATCAGAATAACTCAACAATTTCCGTCTCTTTCCACTCTATTTTCTTATGAATTAATTTTCCGCTCTTTTCTCAGGATTTTTTAAGTTCAACCTATACATTTATTCAGATCTTCACCATCTTTGTAGCTCCAGATTCCACTCAAATGTAAAAATGGATTTACAAGCCCTTACGAAGTCTTTCAATGGCGAAAGTAGGTTATGTGGTAGCGCTTTCAGGTGAAACTTTACCAAATTTCACAGCGGAAACACCACGTTCTGCTGTGGAGCGTTCAAGTGCAACTTTACCAAAATTCCAGAGAGAGATCCTCCCCAGTCCTTAGTGGAAAATGCATAAGCCGATAGTTACTTGTGATTAGCATAAAGAGCAATTTGGCACTTTGGCTATTTAGCTGATCTAGAGGTATTTTAAAAAATAAAAAGCCTTATCTAAAGCTATTTTTTTTTTACTAATAAAAAAAAAAAAAAAAAAACTTTAATCAAAAAGCATATGTATTAATTGATATTTTCGATACAGTTTATTATGAACGCAACGGCATAGTAGTCAAGAGTAATGAGTCAGCTGCAGGATTGATACTTCCAATAAATCTATATAACGAAGAATTAAAAAAAAAAAAATTCCCCGAAATAAAACTTGCAGTATGCAGTTGTTATTTCTATAGCCATGTAATGCACGATAATCCTAGAAGTCGGAACTGTGTTTGCGCTTGAGTGGTTAGCACTTGACATTAAAAACG